ATGCGTTTCCTTAGTTAAAATATTACCAACGCTTCTCTAATTATGTACTAAGCTTTATAATTTTTGTATTACACTGAAGATGGCCACGTACCTTGGCCGAAACATCTGTATAAATTTATAATAAAAAAAGAATTTTTGAGCAAATCGATCCAGCTCTTGCTCTGTTGGCTTTATATTAAAACGATTTTTAATTATTAAACAATTAGGCGCTGACACTTGTTCTTAGAAGCCCGAATGTCACTTGCGCCTAAAGTAGGTTAAACAGATCAGCATTTTGGTAATACAATGGATCGATATAGTTCAGTCTCATTGTGTTCCGAATATTGATCTGTATAAATAAAGGCGGCACACAAGACGCCGCGGGGTTTTATCAGCAAAGTTCCGGACAAAGCACGACACGTCGCGTACACGCGTAACCGCAGTAGTACGATCGCCGAGTGAGTGAGGTGGCAAGTGTAATAACAAGATACCGAATAAAAGTTATTCAATCTATTCAAAAGTACATAATTCTTCTAAACACTCCGAGTCAAAGTTCCCTTGACCAGTACGGCAAATCCCAAATCTTTACGCAGCGCCTACCGCTACCAAAGTAGGCGCAACAAATTGGTGGCAGCGGTGGGATTCGCCATCTTTACCGTTTATCCGGATGTTCTGGATACCCTGATGACCTGGACACGGCTGCAGCTGGACCAAGAAGTCTAACTCGAAGAGTTAGAATCACAGGCGCCAGAGCTAAAAACAACGCAAAACAAAGGTTAAAGTGTTGAAACTGGTGACCAAAAAAGTGATAAGGCCGAAGCAACCCGTAGCAGCAATCAGCAGAGGGACAGCGTGAGCCTAGCTGAACGCCGCAGGAGCTGAATCAGCGCAACCTGAGCAGAGCAGTCTTACCGCAGAAACGGACCGCGACCTGTCTCAACAGCCGACAGCCGGACGCAGAAGACAGCCCGACGCAACGGTGAAGCAGCGATTCAACATGTGAGCGATAATAATTCTGTAAGTTATTGACAAAAATTATACACTAAAAAATAAGCGGCGTTAATGTCCGAAGAACGCGATAACCCCAACGTGCAACTTAATCGATCCTGACTATTCAGCAGCCAGGGCCAACGAGCGATAAGCGCACTTATAAACCCGAATCAGGGAACACAGCGTGCGACACGCGGAAATCGCGAACTTGAAACACAGAGTTCTAGTACCGAAAACGCGAGCGAGAATCCGGAAGTCCACGAAAATATAGAAATAAATCGACACTACTTTTTCGGAGAAATAGATACGAGTCTAATACCCGAAAGTGAGGATAGGGAAACGCGTCGAAACAGACAAATAGGCAGTAGAACACCGAGTCGCGCGTCAACAAATAGCGAGTCCAAACTGACCTCATACGATAGCAGTATATTCGATCCGTGCGAGATAAGATACGAGAGCACGATGGCCCAAGCACCGCGCAACATAACTGCCAACGCGATAGACGAAGACATAGAATCGTTACGCAAGCAACTAAGTAACGAGAGCGAAGAGACCGTAATAGCG